CAGGGTTTAGCCATTCCCACAACCCCGTCGACCCGCCGTCAAATGTTAGCGTCTCTTTCCCTCGACGTTTTCAACAAGCCAAATGGTTTCGTGGTGTAGTTGGTTATCACGTCAGTCTAACACACTGAAGGTCTCCGGTTCAAGTCCGGGCGAAATCATCTTGGGCGAATGGTTTAGTGGTATAATACTCGCTTAGCATGTGAGTGGTCCAGGGTTCGATTCCCTGTTCGTCCAACCTTTTGTCTTGTCGCGTTGCGAATTGCTTTTTGTATCAATTGGGAATGTGAGTGGATGTGTCGATGGGCGTGAAGTGCTGAACACCGACGTTGTGGACGTATGTACCTACGCACCGCCTGGAAGTCTGAGTTCAACACTAGCAAGACTGTGTATAGAGATCAAATGTATATCATAGACATTACTCTTAGTTCTATTTTGCTTCCCTATAGTGTTTGTGCCCAGGGTGCTGTATACTTGGGCGTACTCCAAACAGAAACTTTGATTTACAGAATGTCATCCGGCTTGACAATAACCCAGTTCTTATCGGCAGTAACGGGGAGGCCCAGCTTCGTCTGCTCGGCCGTGTACTCCTCGATCATGCCGTTCATCTCCTCCATCGCACTGTCCTTGCGGTTGATCCACAGGTGGATGCCGCCCTTGGAGACGTCAACGCCATGGAAGATCATGGGGCCATCGCTATCAGGGGTATCACCGCCGGCGAGAATGGGCTTCTTCCACTCGTCAATGTAAGTGAGAATGGCAGCCCACTTGCCCGTCATCCATGTGGCAGGAGTCCACAGGTAGGGGGTCATGACCAGACCAAGGTTTGCCTCCTGATCGTACGTGCCCTCAGTGATCTGCTTGCGGGAAGTCGTGAGCTCGCCAGAGGTCAGGTTCTTCATGACGAGAGTGACACCGATAACGTTCTCGGGCTTGACGTTGTAGCCGTACTTGGGGTCGGAGGCGACCATGCGGACGAGCTCCTCGGCGGCAGCGGTGATGACGTAGACGTCAATGCCGTTGTTCATTAGCTTGTTGTAGAGCTCGACCTGGCCGGTGAAGATCTTGGGAGGAGACACCTCGGTAGGGGTAATGACATCGCCCTCGTAGTAGGTGGTCGAGATGGTGGTGTTGAGCGCCATGAGCTCGTCCACGTAGCCCTTGAGCTCGCCGAGAGGAATGCCGCTGAAGATCTGGGCCGCAAAGGGGTAGCACAACATGTCGTCAACGTCGCACAAGCGGAGGTAGTAGCTGTAGATCGTCTCCGTGTAGTTGGCCGTGTCCTTGAAGGGGATCAGCTTCAGCGAGGGATCCATGGCCTCGCGAGTGATGACACCTTTGCTCTCGAGGAACGGCAGCAGCGACTCCTCAAGATCGAAGCGGTAGCTGGTGTTGTCCATGTCGAATACGGCATAATTGCTCTGGTTGGCGTTGGCGGCAATCATCGCGTTGAGGGACTTCGCCGCTTCGGCAGGCCAGGTCTTCAGCTCGGGGCCAACGGTGTGGTTGCTGGCATAGACCGAAGGAACGGCCGCGACGCCACGGGCGAGGGCCAGCCCGAGGGAGGCGATGATGGGGTTGACGGAGGTCTTCATCTTTGCTTGCGGTGATAGCGTTGTCGAGCTAGTGTTCTTGAGGGTAGCTGCGCCTTGCCAAAACTTCGAGACCAATCTGAGAGAAGGATGCCGGCAGAGGTAAAGAACGGAACGGAAGGGGACGGGAGGGAGCGGGAGAAACCCCCATTTTCAACGGCGGCCGGGCCGTTGTCACGTTAGCAAAATGGAGGCGTCGATTGGACGAAGGTGACCCCGAATTTCGGCTTCACTCAATTCAGGGAATCATGGTCCCTCCTGTTCGCTTACCGCGCTGAGTCTAGTAGATACTGGGGTCGCCAAGGTACCGGACTCGAATGCGACTGTTGGCGTTCATTGGCGATGGTGTCGCGACGTCGCGTAACATCCACTTTGTGGGGTTCCCAATTTCCCCGGCTTGTCTTGGTCACATTTGTGACGTCGAGCGGGATTAATAAAATGAGAAGCTGATAAGCTTTTCGTAATCCAGTGGAGTGCTTATGGCTGAGCCGATAAGAAACGTGTGCGAGTCAAGCCTCATCGCGGCTCGAGTTCTTCGAAGTCTTCAGGTGTGTTGCATCGGATGAACCGTTCTTCAGCCCTATGCCGCAGCGTGGGGATGATGCACGAGTTGCCAAGGCCAAATGTGTGCATCAGGGGAACCGGACTCGCCAACCCGAAGGAGAAGGGTTCAACCAGGGCCCTGGTAGCATCGTTATCATTCGGACGGCTTCACGTCTGAGTCCGATCAGGTGATTCAAAAGATAAGACTTGAGGAGCTTGTGGTTGGATCGGGAAACTGGTCGCGTGCCCGGGAAACAATTGGTACCTTGGTAGCAATCATAGCAATGCGGCGTCAGCCAGCGGAAGCCAAGATCCGTATGCGTACATGTTTCCGGATATTCGGCTTGGCTACATGCAATACAAGTTGTGGCTGACTCGTAGTATCTCCCAGAAAACAAATGTTGCTGGTGGCACATTTGAGGAACGCAATTATTGGAAAGAGTCTCGATGTTGGGAAAACCGACCGCGAATTGAAACATTGAGCGCGTCACGGTTGAGCTATCGCGGGTGGCATCGATAACCCCACTCAATACAGGACCTGAGAAAACAACAGCAACAACATCAACAGGCCTATGATACATGAGTTTTCTGTCCATTCGGAACTCTCATGAGATGCCCTGATCGTGGATATGCATACAATTGCATGTTCAAGAACTGCGCATGTCGATGGCTAAGCATCGTCAGGATCCATGTCGCTTGACGCTCGAAACACTTGATGGTTATCTAAACAGAGAAGAAGTTGATTCAAGGTTATATAGAGGTCGCTCTCATCCAATGATCTCCGTCCAGTCATGAATTCAATCACCTCAAGCGAGTGAGAGAAGAATTGAGCAGCGCTCTTCCAGATGTCGACATCGGGCATCGGGGGATCGCCCGGGCGATCAACCCCGCAGGGCCGACACAACACCACCCGATTCCCGCTCCAGTAAGATGTTTTGCCCGATGTTTCCACCGAGAAATCAGGCAGACTGCGCCGTTCCAGAAGAAAGAAGGTTTCGTACGACATCTTGTCCCGAATGACAGGCCGGGGAATCTGTCCATTGCCAACTCTTCCCGCAAGAACATTACGCTAAGCCTTGGCCCGCTCCACGACACATTCGACTTAAAAGGCTAGCCCGGGATCTCACGATCTCGCATCAAGACATTTGTCGTAAGTGAGTAATTCGTTTAGAAAGAGGAATTTTGTTTCCCACCAAACCCACATCATCAACAACATGGCCCCTGGTACAATCATCAGCCAGACCCCTGCAGACCGCTTGTCTTCGAACACGGGCGCTGCTTACGCCGAGTCCGACAGTACCACGGAACTGAATGCTGATAGCGACACTAGCGTTTCTGAGACCGGAGGCCGGACTGCTTCTAGAACCAAGATGTCTCGGTCCAAGTCAACCAAAGACCAGCTGAATGGCCTGTTCGAAGAAAATATTACCGCCAAGATCTTCAAAACGGCAACGGATTCTCTGGTCAACAATGTGAGCATCACGAAGTCAGGGGATGATGACAAGTTGCTCATGATATCTAGAATCCCCCAACAGCATACCCCGAGTATGTGCTCCAGACTGGCCCCGAAGCGGGGAAATACCACCTACGAGAGGCGTCCTTCTGGACATGCGGTTTCTTCCCGGGGAGCATATACTCCCTCATCGAGAGACTAGCCAAGTTCCCTCAAACCATGCCAGGTGGTAACGAGAAGGCTGCGTTGCTCTCAGAACTTTGGTCACTCGGCGCCGCATGGTCAGAACCGCTCCACGAGACGGCAAAGCGAACAGACACCCATGACATGTCTTTCATGATTCAGCCATCAATGAGAGTAAGATGGGAGGTTGCACAAGACAAGCAAGCTTTGAACTCCATCATCACTGCAGCGAAAGCTCTTTACACCCGGTACAACGACACCGTTGGAGCGATGCGGTCGTGGGACGCCCTGACTCAACATGGTGTCACCATCACAAGTTTGACTGATGACTTTCTGGTTATCATTGACTCAATGTGCAACCTCGATCTGTTGTACTACGCAGCATCGCACACAGGTGAAACGTATTTGTGGGACGCGGCGACCAAGCATGCGAAAACGCTGATCAAGTCGAACCTTCGGACGGAAAAGGACCCCAGAGGCCTTGTTACTGGCCCATTCTACAGTACCATCCATGTCATCAACTTCAATCCCAAGAACGGCGAGATCAAGGAGAGACGCACCGGCCAGGGATACAAGGCCGAATCCACTTGGGCGAGAGGGCAGGCATGGGCCATCCTCGGCTATGCCCAGACTTTCCTGTGGACTGGCGACAAGGAATTCCTGGACGTTGCCCTTGGATTGGCCGAGTACTTCATCTTCCGTCTTGAGACTTCGCCAAAGTCGGTTGAGTTTCCTGTTGAAAGCGAGAACCGCACGAAGGGCCGCTACGTTCCTCTCTGGGATTTCGATGCACCCATTGAAGATGAGGCCAATCCCTTGAGAGACTCGTCGGCCGGCGTGATTGCTGCTAACGGCATGCTTGTTCTCTCTCAAGCTCTGGCAGGCCAGGGCCTCAACGAGGAGAGTGTAAAATGGCGAGACATGGCTATTCTCATTGTTAAGGATACCCTCGACTTCTCGCTGGCCGCTGAAAAAGCCAAGTTTGTTTTGGAAAACGGTAGTATCACGACCATTGACACGGAGGAGGGCAAGACCTTTGAGGCCATTCTGAAGAATGCGACGGCGAACCACAATGCACGCGACCACAAGCGATACTGGGACCATGGGCTAGTATATGGCGACTACTATCTCATTGAATTCGGCAACAGATTGCTGAAGATGGGACTGGTTTGAATATGCATTTATAGACAGGGTAAACTCGGGTATCTCAAATAGACTTCCTACCACCGTCATTACTTCCTACCATACCTCAGAACAAATTACTCCAATCGTGAGTTATCTACTTGATTCCACCCACTCACTGACATACCGGACTGTCCTGGGTTCGCGGTTTGCGCTGTAAACATCATGTCATCGAAACTGATGATTCTATCCATCTCCATGAATCTCTGATCCATCAGCATATGCGAGATGGCGGAAAGCTCATCGGGCGCGTCCGAGTCACGAGGAGTGAATCCAGTGATATTAAGCGGCGAAGCCATTGGCCCAATCATGGACCCTTGGCGAAGCTGGTTTGGTGACTGCTGAGTCGGAAAGATTGGGGGCGGTCTCGGTTGCGATGCGGTAGACGCTTGGTGAGGTGCCAAGGGGCTCGATGAAGGGGGCTGAGCCGCCTTTGATGGTTGTGAGAAGAGCGCGTTTCCCTGATGGTGGCTGAATCCTGGCGTCTGGGCAGATGGACTGCAACCTTGGCCGCTGATACCGCTGGAGTAGCCTAGAACATCTACTGTGAACTGGGAGTCCGTCTCGCACTTGTGATGAAGGTCCCGTAGCTGAGCGGCATACTTGCCGGCAAGACACAAGGCATGCTTCTCCCGAAGAATCGGCCCGACCCAACGCTTGGCCATTTCCTCCAGCCCTTCAACGAGCAGCCAGAATTCCGGGACGAGGTCCGCATCATAATAACGCCAATGCACTATATCTTATTAGACAGTGAATCATGAATGCTCTCTTCCCGACTGTGAACTTACCTAGCAGAACCCTTGCACTGATGAAAACGCAAAACGCGAACTGGCTGGTTGCCGGGCTGTTCTCGGGTGTGTATTTGAGGTACTTCTGGGTGATAGTTGCAGTCTCAACTGCAGCAATCTGGCAAGTTTCCGCACTGCAAAAGCTAGGAAGCTTCACAATATTCGACCAACGAGACTCTGGATACGCTATGCGCTGGTGAAGTAGGATCATTGATGTGTTGTGGGTGACGTGCGCCAAGGTCAAGTTAGGATCCATGTTGATAAGGGCTGGTTGCCTAGAGATATTGGAGTCCTTCCATTTCTGAGGCAGAAACATCTTCCAACTATCGAATGTCAGCATGATCATCTGCACGTTACTAGTAGTGAAACTCACTGAACAAGACGAAGGTCCAACTCCTTGAACCGTGTGAGCCAGCTGCTAACTTCTTGACGGTCCTGAAAGTTGATCTTCTGCTGGAGGAAGTAGGTCGTGACTCGGCTCAACGACTCGGTTGCCTCAATACAGTAAGCAAAGGCGCCAACAGTAGTCATATCGACAGTGTTAGGCCCCTTGTTTGGGTTCACAGACACTGGCGTTTGCGGCGGCGCATCGACTGTCTGCTCCGGGCTGGGATAGTGTGCTGGCAAGAAAGCGATGGAGTTGCCGATCTTTGCAGCCGACCGATCCCAAATGCCAAAATACGGGGTAATCACCGACTCTTCCTTGTGCCAAAGGCCCCCATCTGCAGGCAGTCTGCGGTGAACATCGTCGGAGGTCAAGCTCGTGTTCCATCTGAAAGCCTATTAGATATCCACGACTGCCGTCAGGATTAAATCTCATGACTTAATTTCTTACCCTGTGGTGACTGAACAAAATCTAGGCTAATTAGTGTCTAATGTTGGCAGCCTCAGGAAGCACAATATTTACCTGTCCAAGTTGAAAATATTCCAAAAGACTCTGCGTCTTTCCTCCTCTTCGGTCCAGTTTTGTGGCGGATCTATCGAGGGCAATGGCTTCAACAGAGGCTCTTTTTCGCGATGGTCCGACTCGATGCTCAACTGGAGGTACTCGACTGTTCTTGTTAAGGACCCCACGATGGACCATGCCTTGGATGCATCGCCGTTACCGATCTGAGACTGAAAGTCAACGGAAGTCCACTTGTTCCTTGTATGTTAACTCACATCACAGAAGGCAATTATTATAAGTGCTTGAAGATTTTCCACTGAAAGATGGTCCATTGCGTTGAGTACCACGATGCTCCTGGACCTTGAAGTGCGGCGCTCAACTTCTTGCGCCGAGAGGCGGGTCTCAGGGTTGTCAACGAACCGAAGAGCACCAACCACCATCGCGTGCAGGACAACAACCAATCGTGGAAGTTGTTCTGGGTCGTGAACTCGTCGTCTAAATTGTGTCTCATGCAGGATTGGAATCCATGGCTGAATGATGTTGAAATGAATGTTGATGATATCTTCCAGGAGCTCTGGTGACGGCAAACTTGTGGTAATATTCTCGAGGTCTTCGAGGGGAAACGCGAGATCGATGTTGGGATTGCCGCAGCTGTCAACGCGTCTTCTTTTCCGTGGCTGGTTGTGAGGGTGAGACACTATCTCCAGCCCATCAACCGTGTACCTTCGGGACGAACTGGAGGTTGTCGGGGACAGCACCGCATGCTCGCCAATGCCATCGGGACTTCCTGCTTGAGAGCCTACTTTGGTCTTAGAATTGAGCTTGTGCAACTCACGAGCCAGCAAAGACAAAATGCCGACAACATTCTGAGACTCGGTAGGCCCGCTGCTCGAATCTCCACTTCCGCTGGAGGTCGGAAACTGCAATCCTTGCTCTGATTTGTTCAACAGAGCATTCTCCAATACCTCTGAGCAAATCATTAGTTTATCCGCGTGTTTGGTACGTGACAAAATCGGATGACAGCTTAGCTACGCACCTACTCTTCGGTTCAAACTCTCAACCGCTCCAGGCTTAATTCCAGGCTTGTTCTTCTTCAGGTCATAAACACAAGGTGAATCTAGCCAATCAGCATCTCAAGTTCGCAGGTGAGACATCGGCGGAGCCCTCCGGCCGTACGAGTCCGACGTACCCAATCGCTTGCAGTGAGAACATGTCGGCTGGTCGCGCGAGCAGCGGAGCTTCCGGCGCCGACAACCCTGGCAAGATGGGATGTCGTTCTCGGAGGACCCATCGTTGGGTTGCTGCGTTGCGGATGCCGACGTGGCCAGCTCCATGGCCTCGAAGAGGATCGCCGGGCAGCGGGTCGGCAGACAGCAGTGGCCGGCGGCACGGGTGGCCGGGCTGAGGGGTCGCGAGCGATGATCGGCCGTAACAAGGAGCACAAGCGAGGACGGGCGCACACCGGGCGCAAGTGCAGCGCGTCTGTGTTTTCCCGTCGGTTTTGCGTGAGAATCGTCGGCCAGGGAATCGTGCGACGCGACGATGCAGGATGTGGGCAAAGAGGGTTTTCCGCGTTTATGAGGTGGGAATTTGGGGGCGCTTGTGGGGGAACCGGGGGCCCTTCATCGTTCGGTTGCAAATCGCCGAGAGACTTCGAACGCCGAGGGGGCTAGCTACTCGAGGTGATCTCGCCTCTTGGTTTCTTCGCTCTTCTCCCCCTCAGACGGAGAGCGAGACCAGAACGGAGCTTTCCCCGCATTCTCGGCTTCGTGGGACCGGGGTGATAGCAAACAGTGGGCAGTTTCGTGGAACGAGGTTGGTGCGGAGAAACTGGAGAGACGACAGGGATCATGTCGAATGAGCACCCCGGTGAGCTTTTGCCCGATGCCCGGCGCCACGCGAACCGCTCACTGCCGCCCGACTGGAGTTCGTGTGGGAGGAGAATTGTGGCTTTGTCTGGGGTAGCGTAGATCAGATGAACGTCGTATCGACGGCTTGTTCACATAAAAGGAAACGAGGACGGCGTGGAGTTGCACCTCCAGTTTTTTGGCGTCGGCTCCAGAACCACGGCCTCGGATCTTCTGAGTCCTCCGTGGAGATTTCTCCTTGTTTACAGATACGTCAGGTGAAAGCAGCAATGGTTACAACGGCATCGGCCACAGTCTCAGAGGAGACTTCTCAACATCAACATGCGACGACGGAACGTCATGTGGCCAAGGACGCAGCGGTTCCAGCTGTTGCTGCGTCGACGGTGATGGAGGAGGCCGGCGAGACTGAAAATCAAGCACCGAAGCGTTCCCTCTGGATCGCATGGCTTTACATGTTCGACTGGTATCCTTCACATCTTTCGAAACAGGAGAAGAAGTTTCTGCGAAAACTTGATGCTTTTCTGCTCACGTTCACATCACTAGCCTTCTTCTTGAAGTGGCTGGATTCTTCCAACATCAACTCCGCCTACGTCTCTGGCATGAAAGAAGAATTGAAGCTTTTTGGAAATGAGTAAGATGCTGAGACAACCCGCAACTAGTAGATTGACGGCAACTAACAAGATGGGTGCAGATACTCCATGTTCCAAACGTTCTACAACATCGGCTACATCATCTGCCAAGTCCCAGCAATGCTACTACTTTCCCGACCCAAATATTCCCGATACTTTCTGCCAACTATGGAGGTATTGTGGAGCGTATTGACATTCGCTCAATGCAAGCTTCAAACCGCTCCTCAGATCTACGGCACCAGGTTCCTACTCGGCGTACTCGAGACCCCAGTCGCATCAGGTTCTCTGTTCATCTTATCCTCATGGTATAAGCCCGAAGAACTCTTCAAGCGCGCGGGCTTGTGGTATGTGTAAGTAAAAAGAATAGAACACCCCTATACTCGACCGTACTGACACTCGTTAGATCAAATAACATTGGTGTGATGTTCGGTGGATATCTTCAAGCGGCAGCTTACAAGAACCTAAACGGGGTTCATGGTATGGCAGGATGGCGCTGGCTATTCATCATCGACGGCTGTATCAGTCTTCCCATTGGAATCGCTGGCTACTTCATTTTCCCCGGCATGCCAACCAGCGGCAAGCCATGGTGGCTTACTCAGGAAGAACATGAAATCGGCCAGCGAAGAATGCGAGAGGAAGGCATCGAAGAGCCCAAGAAGATCAGCATGCAGATGTTCAAGCGCGTCTTTGGTCACTGGCACTGGTACATTGGCGTTCTCGCCTACGTGTTATTCCTGTCAGGAGCGTACCCTCACGGTTCGTAATTTCATTTACCACCTCATCGCATGATGTTTCTCGCCAGGCATAAGCTGATTCACTCCTCATACAGGCCAAATGGCTCTATGGCTCAAAGATCAAGCAGACAAATGGGGCATTTATACGGTACCACAGATCAACACCATCCCCACAGGAGCTCAGGGGGTTTCAGTCGTGGCGGCAGTGTTGGCCACATCTCTGTGCATGGTGTATCCCACGTGGGTCATCTTCCAGATCGTCATGGCCATCTTCATGTTTGCGAACATTGTGCAAATGGTTTGGTTCGTGCCGCATGGTCTGCACTTTGTGTCTTACTATCTCTTCGGCGTCAGTGCAGCCGTCACGCCCATCTTGGTACCAACCGTGAACTACTGGCTCAAAGATTCGGCTGAGGCACGCGCATTCTGCACAGGAAGCATGCTGGTAAGTAGCTTATACTTTCAGAGATTCGCAAAAGCTAACAAGAAATATCAGACGCTCGGTTTCGCGATCTCAAGCTTCTACCCTCTTGTCGTCTTTCCAGTGGTAGAGGCTCCCCGGTGGAAAAAGGGCTACATCGTCAACTTCTTCTTCATTCTAGGATGCTGGGCTTCTCTCACGACTGGTTTCTTCCTATATCGCAAGCAAGAGAAGAGGCAGAAACAGCTGGATCTTGACGAAGAGAACCTTAAAGGTGCCGATGTCAAGCACGTGGATTAGATACCCTAGGCATTTATTCATATGAACGAACGATGAACAAATGATTTCTATAACTTGTTGCTCCGTTCAGTTGGCGACCCACAGATCGTAAGGCTGCCGTTGTACCGTATGCCGGCAACCAACATAAGAAATAGGCACCCGGCAGATCATAAAAACGCCGGAGAATCACCCGGTCATTCGCCCGACGCCCGATTTGATTTGTGGAACTCATTATCCGTCCCCTCTGTCAGGACGAAATAAGACCTAGCAAGGTTGCAATAACCAGTTGCGGCTCTTTTCGCCATCCCGAATAATTCATGCTATTCCAAACTCATCCAAAATGCCACCCCTTCCAGGCTTCTCAGACAACCCTTTCCAGACCCGATCGGACCTGATCCGTGCCACGCTTGCTCTCCTCCGGCCGCTGAACCCCCACTTCTCTCCGTCCAAAGCCCGAATCCGGGTCCCGGTCTCAACGGCTACGCACTTTGACGAGACAGCAGCCCAACTTGAAGGGTTTGCAAGACCATTGTGGGCGGTCGGGGCTCTTCTTCTTGGAGCTGAATCAACATCGGATTCAGAGTTGGCAACCTCGATCAATGAAGTGGTCCAGCCGTGGATCGACGGCTTCGTTGCCGGGACCGATCCAGAACATCCAGAGTACTGGGGAAAGATCAACGATATGGACCAACGAATGGTTGAGGCCGAGATTATCTCATTTGCCTTGCTCTCCGCCCCTGAGAAACTCTTCGCTCCACTAAGCGACCAAGCCAAACAGAATGTCACGAACTGGCTTCGTACCCTCAATGGGATGGAGATGCCCAAGAATAACTGGCGCTGGTTCCGAGTCTTTGGTAACCTAGCGCTTAGCAAAGTCTGTGGTGTCCCATTCGAGGATGTTCGAGACGAGTTGAACTCGGACCTGAAGCTTTTGGATACCTTCTATCGCATGGATGGATGGTCAGCCGATGGACCTTGGCAGACTGCCGAACAGGCCCACGATGAGTTTGAGCAGTCCGTAAAGACGGGGAGACGTGACGCCATTGGAATTGGGCGCCAAGCGGACTACTACTCTGGAAGCTTTGCCATCCAGTTCAGCCAACTGCTTTATTCACGTTTTGCTGCGGATTTAGACCCTGAGCGAAGTGCGGTCTATCGCCAGCGCGCTAGAGACTTTGGAGCTACTTTTTGGAGATATTTCGACACTGATGGCAAGTATTATGTGTCCCATATCCGGAAGATTATCAGGTTGCGTCTAACTATCTGAAGGTGCCGCTATCCCGTTCGGTCGATCTCTGACTTACAGGTTTGCCTGCGGTGGTTACTTCGCAGCCGTGGCTCTGGCCCAAGTAGGCGAGTTGCCAGCACCTCTGAACACACCCGGTGCCGTGAAAGGGTTCTTGATGAGACATCTGCGATGGTGGGCCAAGAACTCTGACGACATCTTCTACCCAGATGGAACTCTGAATATTGGATGGCTGTACCCGTAAGATTTCACCCGCTTTCTTCTACTTTAGGGCTATTCCAGTCATCTGTGTCTTCGTGATGATGAGTCTTAGCCTCGACATCAAATATCCCCCAGTCGTGAATGGATGGAATGTGTCCGTGGCAGGTGCTGACATCAGAACCAGGAACATGTTCATGTGTGAGGATTACAACTCACCGCAGTCCCCCTACTGGTGCCTGAAGACTCTCGTAGCCGTTGGACTCAGCGAGAACGACTCATTCTGGACTAAAGACGAGTCATCCTACCCTGAATCGGCGCTTTCGGACTCAGTGACTGTCGTTCGGGCTCCAGAACAGATTCTCTGCAACCATCCCAGCAGCAACCACCACTTCCTCCTCTCGCCGGGTCAGTTCGTCGCATGGCCAATGAAAGCAAACCAGGCAAAGTATTGCAAATTTGCTTACTCCTCGGCTTTCGCCTTCTCTGTGCCGACAGGGCCCCTCATCCAACAAATTGCGCCCGACAATGCCCTGGCTCTCAGCAAGGATGGGGGCGACACCTGGGCAGTCAAGTGGAAGTCCGATGAAGTGAGATTTTCAAGAGCTCATCTCAAAAGTTCTTTAGGTTCAGAAAAGGTGCAAGTGGCGAGCGCTGTCTGGTATCCCTGGGGCGATCGTGCGGTCACCGTCGACACGACACTGATTCCGCCGACGAACCGTTGGCCAGACTGGCATGTGCGAATCCACCGGATCAAAGCGAGTGAGAGATTGAAGACATTGCATACGGTCGAGGGCGGGTTCGCTATTTTCAATCGCAAATCGGCCGACGGCATGCCACTTCCTGTCACTGATACCATCTCAGATGACGCTACACTGGGCGTAACTGAGGCAATCATTCAAAAGAAGGGTTCAGTGCTGATACTATCCTCCGCTGGTGCGAGTGGGGTGGTCACGAAAGGTCTCGTTGGCAGTGGAAGAACTTCAGACTGTTCCCCCCTCAAGCCAGATTCCAACACAAACTTGGCGTCCCAGCGAACAATGATCCCAGTCACATCCCACAGCGTTGTTGAAGGTATCGAGGCTGGATCTGAGTTCGTTCTGGTCGAGTCAATATTTGCAATTTCTACAAAGGCGAATGGCGGACGGAGCCTGACCGGCAAAGGACTGCAACAGCGTTGGATAGATGTACCTCTTGTCCGCGTTGGGAGTAATCCTGTGTCCAATGGAGAAGAGATCATCGCGGTTGATGTGTGATGTGGAACGCGTTAGACCACAAGGTCTCCGAAACGGAGGCGACGATTTCATTGTATGAAGGAGACGTGGATTATTGGTGAAATTCAATGTATGTTATCATGCCTCCTGACACCTCTTACATCCACAATCGAAACCCCAATTCTTCCTCAGAATCGCCATCCTGGCATTCCTTGGCATGTCCTTCTCTTCGCCGCCCAAATAGGTGATATTCATCTCCTCTCCACTCGCAATGTCCTTTGCAGCCCTGAACTCCCATACCCTGTCTTCCCTCCTCTTCACAATGTTCGGGCCGCAGGAGTGGTTGAAGTAACTAGCCGATGGCCAGCAACCATAACCAAAGAACTCAGACCCCTCGTCTTCCAACGAGCGGATACCGAATGAGTTATGACTGTCGTGCGAAATGAGTTGGTGGAAAGTCTCCGGGGTGGCGAGGGAAAGAAGTCGGAGAGGAAGAATGGCGAGCAGATGCAGATAAGTGCGGGTGAACGCCTTCAAGTTGTCTGCATTGCTGTACGGCGTTGAATCCACAGCGAGCGACAGCACATGCTCCCACTTGTCGGGGTGGTTGTACCGGGCGACGAGACCGCTAACGCAAAAGCTCATGACGTCCGGCTGGATTGGTTGCTGGAGCGCCTTTTGAACAGCTTTGCGGTGTTGCTTTGTGATCTTCACGCCCTCGCCACCCAACTCCGCCATTCTTGACGCCCGGACAAGTTCTGCCTGTGCCTTGGTCTCCTCCCAGACCTCTGCAATTTCATTTGCTTGCGGCCGGGGTAAACCAATATCAACCAGTTCATTATCCTCTTTACTCCTCTTCTTGACCAGCTTCTCGACTTCAGTCCATGCCTGGACGCCAAGCTCACCAGTTTCCTGGTGCCACTTCTTCTGGCATTCCTCCGAGCAGAAGGCGAAGCCCACGACCTGATCCCGAATGCGCAGGTCTCGGCCGTAGTCGTACGCGAAGCACTGTCCGCAGACCTCGCGCTTGTACTCGCGGAGGAGGGCGAAGACTGTGAGGTCCTCTGCACTCCAGAGGAGGGTGTTGGCTCCGATATCCTGGGTGGCGAATACGGCACGACCGGCTGTGGGTGTGTCGCGTACTTCGAACAGGGGCGAGATGGGTGCTCCCGGGAGTTGTGCTTTCGAGAGATCGTCGGAGGGAGCTGAGGAGGCGGAGGAGGGTCTCGAGGCGCTCGATGCTGGATAGCTCGTCAGTGAGGCGGCGGTATCGCTTTCGAGGAGGTCGATGATGGGGTTAGTTGTCGATTGAGACATGTTGTCGCTGTCGGTAGCGGTCATAGTGAGCGATTGTAGGTTAGCCGTGAGTGAAGCAGCCATGTTGAATTTGGTGATATCCACAGTGAATGAATGCACGTTAGTCGCGGGTGAATGTGGTGATATCAATGCACACGATCTGAGCAATGTGGTGACACGCGGGATCAATAGGCGTCTGCAACCGGGGCAATTGAGTCTCTGTGGTCAATCTTGGTAGCACTGATGATGCAAGATAGCAATGCAAAGCGAGTGAAGTGTGTTCAACTCCTAGACGCACGTATACTGCTGCTGGAAATAAGTAATTGAAAGAATGCCATGCTGCAGAAGAGGTGATTTGAGGTATGGGCAATTTGTCTTGGAGGGGTAAAGGGAACGGAGAAAGCGATGAAGTAGGTGGCGGTGGGTTTTTAAATCTCGTGGGTGGACCCGGACCCTGAGATTGGAAAAGCTGACTCTGGACTAGCGTGAAGCAATTCCGATAAGCGAGCTGGGTGCTGCTTGCGGATTGGAAAAAAATCTGTCGTGTTTCGGGGTTAACGCCTTGTTCAACGGTCCAGACTCTTCGGGGGCAAGGTCTCAACAAGCGGTGAAGGACACAGATAGCCGCCCACGCATCGTGCTGTAAAAAGTTGAACACGACATTGAATGTCGAGTTCTGGCGGCGACAAATCCGACAACGGCAGAGACATGCAGGTTGAAACAATTAAGCTTCGGATGAACCATGGTTTGAATCAAGGTTTCAGCCTCAACCCGTCAAGGTGAAAGACGCTGCTGGACAACGACTAACACAGAAAGAGACAGAGTCCTCGGGCGTTTGATGGTGAAGAGTGACAAAAAGGCCTCGCACAATTGGTCAGGGAACCCCTGACCAATCACATGCTTGCGACCGATCACATGTTCATAGATCCAGTCCATGAGCCATCCTACACAGTTGCTACTGGACATCGACATATGCCCCGATCTTTTAGAGCTCATCGACAAACATGAATCGAGGAAATGATTCTTTGACTCCTAAACTTTGCGTGTCGTATAAAAAAGGAAAGCTTGTGGCAGTGTAGAAAGATAGCACGAAGCAATACACGAAGGTCTGCTCCAGCGACGTGCCCAAGTTTATTATCTGACATCTAAGCTGCTGGCAAAAATTGCGATTTTCGTGGGGATAGCGCTGTATTTCGTTTTTCTTTCTTGGAGCCTTTAATTGCTTGAGGTGCTCGATTACAAATGGGGACAGCGGAGTTTTTGGTTAGCGGAGTTTCACCAAACGTAAGTCTTACCGTCTTACAAATCAGGAAGGCAGATCGTAGCTTACTTCTGCGTGCCGTCACTCCGACTTCGTGCGCTCGATCTCATCCTATCATGAATTCGATCATTGCTGACAGCAGTCACAACAACCCTTACCCCATGTTATTCCCGGCTTCGTCAAACGTTCACCACAAAGACTATCTGATATATCATGCGGCGGAGATTGGTCACCTCTTGCATGATGGTACGGTACCCGCAACCCGACGAGATCATATAAGACTCCCACATTCTCGATTCTCGTGAAATGAGATTTTGCATTCATTCCGTTGCAACAGCATCTGCTCTCCTGAGAACACAAGTCATCACTGTCTTCCTCATCTCAACATGGCTTACCCAGAGACCTATCAGTCCATCAGGCGAACTCTCGGCAGCTTACCCCTGAGTGTTGAACCCGCTACCGAGACACTGCCCAAGAACCTAGGTTCCAACGACGTCGTCATCAAGATCCACGCGGTTTCTTTGAACTTCCGAGATGTCGGCATACTCTATGGACGCTATCCCGCCAAGTCCATAGACGGAGGTATCATCGCATCTGACTGTGCAGCCGAGGTGGTGGCGGTTGGGGACGCTGTTGAAGACTTCAAGCAGGGGGACCACGTTGTGCCTATCTTTGACATCAACGACATCGATGATTACATTGACGATGATGTTGCAGCACTTGGAGGAGATGCTCAAGGTGTTCTTCGAGAGTATGCAGTCTTTGAAGCGAAACAGCTCGTCCACCTGCCCGAGTATTTATCCTGGGAGGAGGTATGTCCCTGTAAATGTCTATCCTTAGTGTGAGTAGTTGCTGATGAAAGCTGTTTCTTCAGGCATCCACTCTCGCTTGCGCCGGAGTTACTGCCTGGAACGTGTTAGATCTTCCCAGCGATGCATCCGGAAAGAACATGAGCGTTCTGTTGCAAGGTACGTGATCCCAAATCATACCTCTGTCGACCTAAAGTGAAACTGACCTTCTTATGAACAAGGGACCGGTGGTGTGAGCATGTTCTCCCTCCTCTTGTGCATTGCTGCCGGTGTCCAGCCAATCATTACATCGTCTTCCGACCAGAAGATCGCTGCCATCAAGAAACTTCATCCTTCGATCCAAGGAATAAACTACAAGACAACACCCGATGTCGCAGCCGAGGTCCGGCGCATTACCAACGGTAGAGGAGTCGATGTCGTGGTCAACAACACTGGTCCAGCATCCATCATACAAGACCTGGATGCTTTGCGCCAGAAGAACGGCCATGTTTCTCTGGTTGGATTCTTGGACGGATTCAAGGCAGAGTGGGACCAGAGCGCGATTCTGGGCTTCATGAGCAAGAGAGCTAGTCTGAGGTGAGTTCAGGCAAGACAAAAGACTAAAAGCTGTGCTAATCACTCTTCGAAATTGCAGGGGCATTAAGGTTGGGTCCAAAAAAGACTACATCCAGCTCTTCGACTTCCTCGAGAAGCACAAGATTGCGCTCACTCCTCTAATTGACCGTGTTTTCCCTTTCTCCGAGTCTCGGGAGGCTTGTGACTACCTGTACTCCGGAAAGCACGTGGGAAAGGTGGTGATCAAAGTCTGAGGGATGCTGTGTCACCGTCCTCAATGACATGTTGGCATTTTTCTAAGTAACACATATTATATTGGCTTTTCTTTGTCACAATGACAGTGCTATAGTTCCTGATGATGTGTATCTGTTTAATACGACATTTTCTGTTGTACAATTGACTACGGCACTATTAGCCGCACAGAATAACGGCTAGCCCATCTACTTTTGCAAGATAGGTAGGCTGCTCTAGCTGTTAACAATAGCCACAGCCAGCGGAGGCTGATCTGTTGTCCGAAGAAAAGAGGCGGTGGGCTGACGTGACGCTCGACACGCACGAATCAAGGGATGGCAACGCCAATGTACCTATTGAAATTGAGAAAAAAGTCAATGGGATGGCCGTTGATTCAGGGGCCATACCTACATATCATTGGGCAACCCACGACATTATACCACAGGTCTTGGGCATTCTGGTACTCCACTAGAGCTGGCGAAGCAGTCATTGCCATGCATATGGGGGCGAAGGAAATCCTGTTATCAGCAACACAGGGCAGCAGCAACACGCAGAAGCGACGTGCAACTTCCCTATCCATGCACCTCGCGAGTCAGCAGCCCATGACCATCCCAATGATGCCCATGTTCGCCAGATGGGATTCGCGAGTGCATGCCAACACAAACTGCACCAACAAGACAAGATTCCCAGATGTAGCCGACGCAGCCGATGTTGGGACCGATGGAGACTTTTAGCTCTGCAGGGGTATCGGGCAAGGTGTTTGCCAGCTCACCATTTTTCGATCTCCATGGCGTATCGCTGGTTGAATGACATGCACCTAAGAAGCGTCAAAATCCAATTTTCTATTCTTCAAACAACCAAATCGTCTACCACGAATATCTTGGAGTCACTGTAAGGGTAAACATAGATGTGCAGGGGTGTAAAAATATCCTTGGTTGGTAAATCTGCCCTAGATGCCCCATCACACCCTCTACCTGACAGGGTCTTCGAGGAACCCACCCACTCTATCGTCTGATTTTCGCGGTCTATAGGCGTGGTACTTCTTCTCAACTTGCATGCAAGCCAGGAGGTGCGGGGTTGGGTTACGAATGATACGTCGGTATTCATCCTATCCAAGTTTATCGGTAAGGGTGTCTTTTGCGGCCGGGCGTTGGTTGCCACATTTCATCAGGGGTTGTACAGAAGGAATTCACCTGTGGAACACGCTCCAACTACGCCAACTTGTCTGCGAAAATTAAACATCATTGGCATTGATGAAAGTCAAATTCGTTGCCTACTTAGAGTTTTGAATGGGCTTGAATGTTGATACTGACGCCAAACTGTACACACATATCCAGCTGCATCACGGGCCCGAAACCCCCAAACATGTCCAGGAATTCGCCGGCGGGGACTACCAACAGATCTCTATCTGCAAGGGAACAGGGTCTCCTGCGGCCCCCAGTATCGGAACCAACAACCAGCAACACACTGCACCGGAATGTTCCCCTCCCAGTCGCAGAAATCTGCAGCGGGGACGAGAACATCCCGATGACGTGTCATGGGAACCACCTCATTCATAACTCGGAGACTGCTCCGAGGGCTGTGGGCTTCGATTGACGAGGACTTCCAAGGTTGGTACCATTCTCTACGAAAGGTACCCAAATCATCACACAATCTAGATCGACAAGATGTATGGAACTCTCTCTTTTGACAAGAACGAAGACAATTCTCCAACAGAGTTCTACGCATTTTCATCGATTCGCGGCAGGCGGCAGAGGCAGCCAGCGTGCGACGAATGTCGAAGAGCACGCGTCAAGTGTCGAGAGAAGTTCAGCAAAGACAAATGTGCCCGGTGTCACAGCACGAGAAGGACATGCACGTACAGCTCAAATCAACACGCACCTCGACAATCAAATCAGAGTGGCAGAGAAGGACCACCTAGATCAACTAGACCAGCCAAAGTCGTCGGGGAGAAAACGGTTCAGGATGGAGACAGCCACCCAGTCATAAGTCCAACACCGCCAAGAGCGCTCAGCCCAACACCAGGCGGACAGAACGACTTTGTTGGGAGAGAAAACATCTTCGATTTTCAATTGGACAACATCGATATAATTGGCGACCAAAGTGGAAGTCCAAGTACGGCAGCTACATCTCGAGACATAGCAAATCGACAAGCTGAAGATGAAATTGACGACATGGGCAGCCTGTTTGGTTTCATAAACGACACTTGTGTCATGTCACATGTGCCAGACATGATTTCAACATCAAAGTATATTGATGAAAGGTCCATTGGCAACCATAGTCCTTCGGATCGGGCTTTATCAACAGCAACCCTCTCATCAGCACTCAATATAAGCAGGAGTACACCACATGGGCAAGATGGACGAGCCAAAACGTTGGAAACCCCTCTGGAGACACCTCTTGATCACTCATGGACTTTAAGGCATTTGGGATCCACCCAAGATAAGCTGCCTGCCCGTCTATCACCTCTGACTGGGTTTCACGATGTCATAGACGTCGTACGATTTCCTAAAAGCCCTTCCCTATCCGACTCGGCAAACTCGTTCTCGAGCGTATGCACATGCCTCCAAGACTTGACTGCAGGTTTATTTGGTTTCCAGACATCTGGCGAGAATGTTCGAGTGGACCGTGTACTGCTTCTCTTCAAGCGTTGCATGTACAGATGGAAGGGTATCGACACGTGCGCTTCGGCATGTTCTACTACCCCGAGCCTCGCGCTTCTCATGTTGATGAATGTGCAACAATTGGTCTCGTTGCTATTGAAAGCTTCATCTTTAGCAAGATCTGGAGACATTGCCAAAGACCCCGGACTGTCAGGTTCTGCTCTGAACATCACCATGGGATCATTCGTCGTGGAGGATAGGGCTGATCGGCGATTGATTGCTGAACACCTTATAACTTCGAGAATGAAGGAATTGTTCTCTTTCATCTCAACCACGAGTCTCAAAGTGAATTTATCTGGCCTAGACACTGTAAATGAAGAGTACCAGCGGCAGATGGAAAGGCTAAGGCAAGCGCTTACTTAGAAGTTAGAAAATATCTGGAAGAGCTGCAAATCCTCAATCGGACCCTTCAAAAACATGAGACTACCAATGTTTTCTGCTCAAAAACATTAGCAATGGTGATTTTACACGGCGTCGGATGCGAAAAAGACCAATTATATGTTTTAAATGTGAAAGAATGTCACTCTTGCCACTGTATGGGGGAACATGCGCCTCATTTGGTTGATTGTGGTGAGCCCAGTGCCGGTCTTTATTGATTTTACATGAAATTGCCTCCGACATCTGTCGACAAAAAATCATCATCTCAAAAGGAAACGCATGATTATACATAGCTCAAGTTTGAATGATTCACAGTGATGTTGACAAGATAGCACGGCTTGCGATTGGTCCCAATGCCATGCGGTGCCAAGCAAAACAAAGCGTTTGCGTGGATGTCTCCCTGTGAAATTATGGGACTTGTGTTACACGAGTGGATGAAGAGCATTCGGGCAAACAGTCGCAAACATCCCAAGACAGATAAAATTCCGCACAGCCTGCTCGAGCCACACGTCCGAGTGAGCATACGATGGTGTCAATTGCATGCTTCAGTGGGACCACGTTGGCGCTGTCGAGGATGATTGGGTGAGGTGTTCAGGGTCAGACTCATCTTCCGTCTTACATATTCCGCAAAGGGTTATTGCTCTAAATTGGCACATCCTACCCCGGCATCGACTTTCGCCCGGCCTTTTACTTCTTTTCCTGCAACTGGGTGATTTATCCGCATTCTAGCTTCAGCCTGCTCAAGATCCAGGTTCGTAAATCACATTCCTTATCTCTAAGAAAAAGGTAACGCTACTACATAAAATGGCTCGGATTCTTGAGACGACCCTCCTGCCCTTGGGTTGAAATCTTAGAGAATCCGCAAATTATTCGACACAATGTTCAACCTTTTTGCCAAGTATTGGAGATCACCGCAACCTCAGCGTGTGTCAACTGATGAAGTTATTCCCGTGGGATTTTTTGATGATACCATCATTTTCAGAAACTTTGTCTTCTACGCCCTCTTCAACTTTGACAGTGTCCTTGCGACTGGATTGCTACATGACTCTCTAGGAGGTCTGCTAAATCAGCCGGGTTGGAATAAGTTGGGAGCCAGATTGAGAAGAAATGTAAGGCATGGTGCTCGAATCATCCGAAAAAGCACGTCTTCTTGAATAATTGATGAAGATCTGACTTGGAATGGCCGTACAGGACCGTGGAGAGCTTGAACACCACATCCCGAAAGAGTTTTCTGCAGACCGCCCAGCCGTCGGATTTGAACATGTTGACCTAAGTCATTTGGCTGCCGAGGATCATCCCACTGCATCCAAAATACCCCGCCCACCGAGCAGCGGTCAGCCCTCTATTGTCGGTGACCCCAGCCATCTATCGGACCTCTACCTCGGCCCTGACATTCCCAGAGGGTTGAATGACTACCTCTTCACGGATCGGCCACAGCTTGGACTGCGTATCGTCTCCTTCAAGAACTCGACAGTCATGGTCCTTCATTGGCTGCATTTGTCGGCTGATGCCGTATCTATCGGGTCTCTTCTCAACGCTTGGTCGCTGAAACTTCAAGGGCGGGAAGATGACATACCAAAGCCACTGACAGGTGCCTATGCTCTGGAAGATTTGGGCAAGAATCCGAACAGGCCACACGTTCTTTCTCATCAGCACATGTCCACGATCAGTCTATGCAAGTGGCTCTTCTGGAACTTCTACAATCTGGCCATCAGGCCGAAGGAGAATCGCGTTGTCTGCATTCCTGCTGAGTACCTCCGGGGGCTCAAGGAAAAGGCCATGGCTGAGCTTGAGGCGCAGCCAAGTATCGACGGCAAGGAAAAGCCAAAGTTTGTGAGTGAAGGAGACGTGATCCTAGCATGGGTTGCACGCCTCTCATTTTCAAGTCTCTCTGAAAGTTCTGAGTGTACGGTAAGTAATCATGCATAATAATCAAGAGCTGGTACAGCATACTGACATAATGATACTTCTAGATGGCCCTACAGCAGGTTTATGAATGGCGACGGGCTTTGAAAGACCTCATACCCAACGACAGGCCGATACTAAGCAATTGCGTCGGCTTCGTTGTAACTCTGATACCCGCGAAAGATCTTCTCCAAAAGTCGCTGAGCTATGTGGCTTCCCAGATCCGTCGTACGCTCATTGAGCAAGGCTCACGAGAGCAGATTGAAGCCTATACATCACTAATCCGGCAGGACCCGATCAACAAGGCCCCTCCTCTATTTGGCGACACCTCCATGAAGCTGTTGATGTTCACGAACTGGCAAAGGGCTAGGCTCTACGAGACCGATTTCTCGGCAGCATCTGTCAACAAACTCGATGACCCCCTGTTTCCTTCGTATATCCAGGCAGTCCCAGGCCCTTATGAGTTTAATGATGGGCTCATTCTTTTTGGCAAGGACTCCTCAGGCAACTACTGGTTTGGAGGACAGAGAGCGCAGGGTCAATGGGGTATGATGGAGCGGAAGATAGAAGAAGGCATGGAAGACTTCTGAGGGGAGAACATAGCCGTTTACGTAGGACGCCTATGCCATCTAACAAACAAGTCTGGTTTCCACCACAAGACATGCACTCTGCTCTTCTCTATAAACTTAATATCTTTATCCACGAGCTCCATGTCATACGACCACAGAAGTTTCGCCAACATGAGGTTCAACTCCATCCATGCAAAGCTAGACGTAGCAAATTTGTCAGACCGGTCAACTCTCAGAGCGATGAGAGTGAATTGTGACTTACTTTCTTCCTAAGCAGTCCCGAGGACCAAGCAGAAACGGACGACTGGCATCCTTATTATCTTTGTAATGAGGGTCCAGCCATCGCTCTGGTTTGAAATGCCAGGGGTCGGAGAAATACTCTGGATTGTGAACGGTGGACCAGGGACTGACGCTGATGTCCGTCTGTACATCCATCAGTAGTTGTTTTAATTAGTGAAGAATACACTGATTGCCCTGGCTTGTTCAAACTCACGCCTTCAGGTATATGTTGGCCGTGCAGCTCAAAGCCAGGAGAGAGCCTGGTCGCGCCCCCAGAAGCGGGAGGAAACAGTCTAAGACCTTCATTGATAACAGCTTGCAGGTATGGTAGCTGCTGGGCCTTCGATCCGGTTATTTCGTCGTAGGTTTTGAAAGCGACACGGATCTCCTGGCTGAGAAGTTCCAGCTTCTCTGGATTCTGACCGAGGAAACATGTCAAGGCTGATAGAGTAGTTGCCACGGTCTCTCCACCAGCAATTCTGCGGGGTCACGTTAGGTAATGTATCCTTTAAAATTTCATGGAAGCAAACTCGACGGAATCTTGACTGAACGTACGCGATTGTTGAAACGTGAGCTGTCATTTCCTCCTTAGAGACTTCTCCTGCGCGAACCTTGTCGACGAGCGGACTGACGAAGTCGCTGCGAGCCGCTTTGACTTGAAGACGGCTAACGAGAGGTTTAGTTAGTTCATGAGTTGACTGAGAACCATTGGACAACTTTCAACTTACTTCTCGACCTGTTGGCGGCTATAGTTCGAATGTTGATTGTTGGTGACGATCCATGTGGGAATGAGTAGTCTTGCAAGTTTGGACACCCACCCAATGCGCCGCAAATTGTCAATAAGAGTGACGATGTAGAGATGCTCGAGTGCAGTATCCGCCCAAGAATTCAGGATATCTGGTCTTGGAATCAGCGGAGCTGCCATCTGCCAAAGCATTTCTGACTGAAGCCAGAGATGAGTCTACTCACCAATGTCAAGATTGCGGAAGCTCTCTCCGAAAGCCATCTCGCCAAGAATCTCAAATGAATTCATGTTGTAACATTTGGTCATGTTCAAACCTTTCGTTCCAGATCCCCCCTTTTCTCCCATTTTCGTGACAAACCTGTCAACAATTTCCGAGATAATATCCTCTTGTTCGACCAAAACACGTTGCGAAAAAGATGGGCTCAAAATCTTGCGCATGACGGAGTGTTTCTGGGGATCACGCTCGCTTCCGATGCATCTGCTGCTGAAGCCGGCAGCCAAGACGTCATAGAAAGGTCCTTTCCGCGCAATCTGCCTGCCGCTTCCGGGGTGACCGTAGATGGCTTTCCAGCTCTCCGCACTGGCAAACGACAGCTCATTAGGCGAGATCCGGACTATATTGCCTGGCAAAATATGTCAAAAACAATGTCGCGTGCAATCGAAACGACGATGGTTCGAAACGCACCATATTTGTCATGGGCTCGCTCAACTGCAATATGGATTTTACCCCGAGAGCTGTGAAAGAAACGATATAACTAATTTTTGAATGTCGCGTTAATACCTTAGTTTGGTGCTGTCATTTTTGTCTCTCTGCCTACCAAAGAACATCGGCCCAAAGTTGGTCCTGGAAACTTTGCCAGGGGATGAAACCATAAATTGTAGCTCCATACGGCAATACATCGACAGATTATCTTATGTGCAGCAATTAGTGATATCGCTCTTAGTACGCCTCAGATGTGTAATTGATCCTTACAATAGTAATTATCCATGTGACCACTGCTTTCCATCCCCACTGCTGCGGCGTGTTGTGGATTGTTTTGGCAAGCTGGGGCCCGATAGACCAGCTAGACCTGGATTCACGGGTCTCATTTACGATGACATTATCGTAATTCATGGTGAGCCGCGTTCTTCGGATATCATAGCGCACTTCTGCGAATCCCCAAGGAATGGATAATCTACCTCCACATATACTGTTGGTGCGCCCCTTCTCAGTGTACGACAACCAACCAGAGGTGGCCGGGGAGTTCCAATTAGAGACTTACCGATCGCTGAATCCCGAAACGGAAATCCTCGATACTCGTTTGAGGAAGAACACCCACAAAGATTCATGGGCGACTCAGATAGGGGTTTGCTCAACGAATCATGAATGTGCAACTTCATGTCTTACGATGGCTTTTCTTCACCCGATTATCTCTTGGATATCAGAACGTGGCTATTTCCTTGCCGCATCAAAGCTAAACTCTCCCGGCTGCACTCATTCATGTGGAGATAATCCTTTAGCAGCATTTTCACAGCTACGGTGGCATTAAAAGTGGCATGACAGATAAGGTGCACATGCACAACTTGTGATGGGGGTCACTTGAGACCTATGGTATTGAGCTTCATTGGAATGCATGGATATAATCAAAAATCACTGTTGCTACATATGTGTGAAAAAGATATGCTGCGCGAAAAGTCCTATATTTCTAAATGGTCTCCCATTTCGGGGTTTGTCGAGAATTCACTGCGAGAAACAGCAGCGCCCGCGATCCTTGCGTCAACTTTTGTATCAATCTATGATAAGCTCCACTCCAATGCACTCCAATTTTCCCAGCAACGATCAAGATTCCTTCTATGCGGGTGGAAGATGCATGATGCCTGTTTCGTGGACGGCATGGCCCTCGCGGCCTAAGTAACGACCTGTTTTGAAGCTGTTGATCTTGTTAGCTTTCCTCGTCTAATGTTCATGACAAGACAGTCGAAACTTTGGATTTACTTGCCTCCAATACAGATTCCCTTGCGCCAACGCCCTGCAAACCTCCACGAATCTCATAGCTTCGCGGTCGATTTTCTCTCCATAGGATGGCAGCTCTGCCAGAGCAAGATACCATCTTCGGTAACATTGGTTGACCATATTACCAATTTCGTCCATTGCCTGTTGGATACTGAGACCATCTTTCTCCATGAGTAGCGAAATCAAGTTGTGGTCTACGCCTAATGCCAGGTCTTTGCGGTAAGACAAGACGTCATTCACCCTAGGAGAACGAACAATGTCAGCTTCAAAGGCTTGAATACAAAACGCTGTGCACTCTTAATTCTTACAATATCACCAGGTCTGCCGAGACAGTCATGCATTCCTGCAGGCTTGGATGCTCGTACACGTGCTGTGGCAAGTTGATGTTTGAGCCGTACTCGGTGAGGTTGATGGCTGGGTACACGCCAATTGTACCTCTGCGCATGTTCATGTACTCATCTACGTCGCGTGTGAAGTTTAGGCCGCTGACTTGCTGGTCGACCTGCACGAGGAGTTGTCCAAAGTAGCGCTTGTGTTGATCAATCCATCGGTTTTGCATCTCTACTCTCGAATATCAGTGCTGTACGAGCTTGCGTCTTCAAGAATGCCCGAAGCCTGGTCAGCTGCCATGAGGCGAGGATGGGCAATGGGAGAAGATGGTTGTCTGCTCCAAGGAGAATGTAGGACAAACCTAGACTAGATACTTCGCTGATGGCGTCCCAGCATCTCTGAAACACATATCGAATGGGATTAGAATCAGCAGTGTAGCGAGGCGCATCACCGCCCATGATGGCTATGTTTTGAATGATCTCCTCAGCAGCAGCGGCCGGGTCCTCTCTGAGGTGTCCTTCATCAAACTCTTTCATGACGATGCGTTATCAGTAACTTGGAAGAAAATATTCGAAATGGAAGAGCCACGTACGATCGTCGAAAAGGAACACCTGTTGAGGTAATCGTTGGTCAATATTTGGAAGTATATGAGTTGACTTAGTGGAAGGACGAACCCAGTGATGCCAATCTAACATGATTTTCAGGCGGTGTTCTGAGGCGATTGGTGACCAAATTGATGCCAGGAAACACAGATCAACTTTGGAGTTCTTTGCTGCTTCCGCCTTGTTGTACTTCATGACACTGCCGGACGAAGCTCGGTGCGTTAGTTTCGGACTGAAAACGATTCCAGAATTGGATTTGAAAGTGTACGCTTACCTTGCAATCCATTCGTCTCCGACAGCTTTTACCTCAAAGTAGTTGGGATTGACAACAAGCTTTGTGGACATGATGGAACCAAATAGCTCTGGGATACGAACGAAAGGTGGCCGTTTGGCAATCTGCCTTCTTTCTGGTTTTGATTGCATCGGGGAAGTCAAACTAATAGTTTCGTAGCCAGAGTCTGAGCTGTTGCTACTGGCATCGTCACAGGCGGGATCCATCTCGACGTCCTGCGACTGGCGTAAGAGCGTTGCCGTATTCGTAGGTTCTAACTTCCGATGATATACGTGTAAGGCGAATCGAATAATTCTTGACGAGACTTGGATCTTTGGAGTGAGCGACACTACCAGATATTATCGACCATCGATCACCCGTTTCATATGGGTTAGGCGTAGAGGTTTCCCTCTGATTCTTAAGTATGACGCCTCATCGTCGTTTGCCTTACGCAAGATGTAATCGTGCGATAGCAGGGGGGTAAACTGCCGTATGGCCGCATATCTGAAGCCTGTCAACGGGGTGGCAAAGCATCTGAAAGCACGAACCGGTGTACTACAGGCTATCGTTCTCCCAAAGGAGAGCATCTGATACGGCCTAACGGCAATTGCCAAAAAGAGTAAACGCCGACAGATTATAGCTTTCGTGCCGGAGGCTCGTCTATACAAAGCAATATCAATAAGCCAATCTCAATCTAGAAATTCCACTTGGAATTCTCATCTTAGTAATGTCCTCTTTTCCCAGCATGAAATCGGGCTTTGCCAGGAGAGTAAAATAGTGCGACCCCGGTTCTCTGGCGTTGCCGTGTGTGGGCCTCCTGAATGGATGTTTTTGTAGACAAGTCCCTGTGACTCAGTGCAGTTTGGACGCGTTTATAGCGCATTTTCCACAATTCCAGCAGCGATGGAGGGTGATGAAATCGGCAACTTTGACCTCAACTCTGACGGAGGCGACGTCTTCCCAAAGATGCATGGGATTTCACCAGCCGAGTTCAGTCGGATCTGTAGCAGGATTGATGCACGCGCCTCCAGCCAAACGAGAACGATGTTCTTTTGGATCTGGTAAAGAAGATGAGGATATGCATCGATCCATTGCTAATTACCCCTTTGCCCTTCTTCATTTAGCCACCGACCAACATCACTCATGCCTTTCCGGCTGATCCGCATATCTCCATCCACTCCATCGTTTGTCGCTTCACATGATACGTCCCCTCCTCGATTAAGGTGGTGTGTGGTACCCGTGCAACTTGATGTTTAAGATGCATGTAATACTCATCTAGGACCAATTTGTTCACGTTGATTTTGGTCGCCCCTGCAGCGATGCATTGCCGCATGAGATCCGACGGGAATCCATTTGTGCCGTGAAGAGCAACCCGTACTCTCCCACCAATCTGTTTTTGTATGTTGTCGAACCTGATTCTCGATTAGAGGCGTACCAAAGATTAACCAGCGCAGCGGCATACCTTTCGAAGTCCAATTGCGGGCCTTGCTTTCCGTATTCGCCGTGGACGTTACCGAAAGCCGGAGCCAGAGCATCTACGCCTGTGGCGATGAACTGGTCAACTTCTTCAGGCGTCGTCTTGCTCGCTTCCAGCCCGGCCGTGTCCATCACCCCATCTTCAGCGCCCTCGATCCTCCCAGGTTCTGCTTCCGTGGCAATACCGCGCTCGTGGCAGTACTTGACCCAAGTTGCGGTCTTCTCTAAATTCTCATGCTTCTCATAGTGCGACATGTCGACCATGATGCTGTCGAAGGGGAGGTTGTCGGCCGCATGCTTGATGATGTTCTCATCTTGCGCGTGGTCCAAATGTATCGATATCGGCACACTTGCTCGGCTGATGGATTCCTTCGCAGTCCTGACGAGCAGACCGTCGGCGTAGGTCACTGCCCAGGGAAAGAATTGGAGAATGAGGGGTGACTGAGCTTGCTCAGCAGCGGCAACAAGCCCGTAGATCTGCTCGAGGTTGTACGCAATGGCTGCGATCACGCCATACCGCCCCTTCTCAGCATTCCGTAAGATCTGGAGATGTCGATTGTTGTCTTTCCAATTGGTCGGCACGGCCATGATGTGTGTCTAAACGTTCGAACTAGGATAATGCTGATATTGGTGTGTTCGTCGAGTGGTAGCCGTTGGAAACCCCAAGTATTGGATATTTGACTTATTTCTGTGCATGATCCGATATCGATAGTGGCGAATTTACGTCAACCACATGACGGATGGGTCTGGGGTGATGTGTTGGCTTCCGTGTCGAGGAAATCGAATGGCAGTGGGTCTGAGTCGTCACGAGGGACGTCACGATCACCAACCAACACGAACCATTGTTCCATGTTGACCTTTATCGTGTCTCATCCCCGCTTCTCCGACATGCATGAAAACTGCAATATGAATGGGAGAAGCCTGGGCTCAAAATGCTTCACAGAGGTTTTGTATGATGCGGCTCGAGCTTGAGCACCAATGCGAAGTCAGGGAGCTTTTATGTTGGGTTCACCGGTAGTCAAGTTTCTGTTTCCTTTTCTACCAAGTGAATTGAATCTGTGTTCAATTTGATTTTTCTGGAGTTATTCCTCAATTACCCTCTGAGATTTCCCATCTTGCTGAGAGTTCCTCTCCTAGCGGCTTGACTGGCCAGCCGGATCTCTCGCGACAGGCCTCCAATAGCCCTAGAACACAATTTCGTTCTCTCCTGCTTTCAAGAGGAATTCCAGCTAAGGCCATGAGCACGCGTTCTAGTTCATGGGCCGGCGGTGACGATAACATACCTATGTAAAGACACTGAGAACACATGACACTCGATGGGTAGTCAGAGAGTGTCAAGGCAATCCCACAAACCTTCTTCACGCATTCCATGAGACGCTTCCGTTGCTGTGTGTATTGCTCTAGACCTCCTAGTACTGGCACATTCAAAAGCAAAAGTATGTGAGCGCAGTAGTAGACTTGGAATGCGATCGCTTCACAGGGCGTCAGTAAATATCTTGGTCGCTGGGGGCGGTGCTCAAAATGTCACAGCTTACCGCATGCTGGGGGGTGAATCCAAATTGGCTCAAATACATCGTCCACAGAACCGGCGTACGGCAGTGGCTGGAATTCTGCCGTCAGATGCCTCCTCCAATTTTCCAATTGATCTTTGAGCGCATCAGCTGCAGAAACTCTAGCAATCGGGTCATTCTTTGCTGCTTCTGTGTCTTCTTTGGAACAGAATGCTACTACTTGGGCAAAGAAGTACACGGAACGAGCCGCAAGTTGATAAGGATCCAGCTCATCCAATGTCTTGACCGGCCTCCAGAATGTAAAGGGGCGACGCTTCTCACGGAATGCAGCCCAAACATCTTGGCAAAGCCACGTCCACCATACTGCTTGCTTCAAACCCCCAGAATCACCATGTATGGTTTGAGAGCGCTGTATCCAGTGGACTCCTTTAAGATGTCTTTCCCAGTCTTGACGTGATCCGTCCAACATCTCATATGCAGATATGATGGATGAAGTAGCGAGCAGTTCAAGGCTTGTCTTGTATGTATCGTACTGCATTGCCTCTTGGATGTAGTGCAGAGTCTTGTAGTAATATTTTAAGGCCTCGTTCAGATCTTGATGATCTTTCTCTCCAACTTTTGAGCTCAAAGAAAGATGGCGAGCCGAAAGCGCCAAGACGGCGTTCATGAGACCTACATTATGCATCTAAGTCAAGGTATAACTGCTAAGTGACAGGCTCTGCAGAGAAGGCTTCTGTGAGAGACATACCGCTAGTTGGGGAACTTGTGTTCCAAAAGGTCTTCTAGGGTCGAAGAAGTCCATCTACTAAAGATTTAGAACGGCCAAACGCCGGGGAAATATGCCTACGTACCCACATGCTGATGTGCCTCACAAAGTTCTGGAAAATCACATGCTCATGAGAAGAGATGTGTATTGGGCTTGTCGAGTACCAGTTCTGCTTCTCAAACTGTTGGTAGTCGCTTAACCTTGGTATCCTCTCCGTCAAATAAGGGTTGGAAGTGCATGGAGTCGGATGTGGCCCATCTGAGGAAACCCTCGGTTGAGCTTTTCTTACTGCTGGTGACTGCACAACGGAACTTCCAAAAATATCGACACTTTCTTGATCCACGTTGAAGCTTGTAAAGTCGAACTCTTGCATGGCAGCATCTTGAAGAAGTAGGTCAACCCATACTGCCGTTGCGTTTTCCAAATTCGCCCCATAAGAGCTGCTTGTTGTAGCTGAATTGTGAGGCGTAATACCCGTGCATCTTGTCTCTGGAAGATGCTCCGGACCACCAGCCTGAACATTGGGTGTTTCATTGACGTGAAAATCTGGTGATGTCTCATCCTGGGCTCCAGCACTAAGGCCGGCGTCCGGCGTCGTATTAGGTATGTTCAGTTGCGGCTGTTCATCCCACGATACTACGGGTGCGGAAATACTCTCCTCATGGTTGACTGCCGGAGGTGTTTCTTGGGGCTCTGGGGATTGCTGCTCGGGGCTGACTGATCGCGGAGGCAAAGAAGACTCTTGTTGTGCTGCATCGCTCTCATGTTGAGTATGAGCCACATCCCCGGGGCTGCCAGTGCGTTTTCTGTTTGGTGGTCGCCGTGGCGCATAGATACAGATGTGTTTGGTCCTTTCACAACCTCCGCAAGTAGGCTTTTTCTCGTCGCACTTGACGTGGCGGCGACGGCAGGTTGCGCTATGCGGTATACGTTTAGCCAATGAAATATGAGACCATACGTCCAATGGATAGAGGGAAATAGGTGTATTACCATCCAGTTGTGTTTCTCAAGCCCCGGCCTCTGGTCAGTCGACCTCTGGTGAAGTATCGTTTAGTTCCCTCCTCCTCGATCACCATGTTGTGGACTTCAGTGGATACTTTGCGCCCTGACAGATATTGTGTACTCGTGGTCACGGATGGCAGAGACCAAGGCTGCGGTGATACCTGGTGGCATCATTCGTGGGGTCATTGAAAGCAATTTTGGGAGAATCCGAGCAGCGTCGACAGCGTGAAGGAAACCGCGTGGAGATCTTGCAGCCGGTGCGGGGTAATCTGGGGCAACGGTCCACAATTTGGAGACCCGAGCTTGGGTCCTGGATGTCCCGTAACGGCCCGGTGGGCGGCCGGCCCTGGGGCCGGTGTTGTCTGGTGTGTGAATGCGATGTAGCCCTCAGAGGCTAGTATCTATTAGTCGAGAAACGAAATTCGAAGGCTTCTGGCGGCTTGGTCGAGACGAGACGAAGTCTATCTTCTGGTCGACCTGTAACACCGACAAATTGGCTCGCACACATCGGGTTTCCCTCGAGACGAGGGAGTGGGACCTTGACTGATACGTTGATCATGCGGGGTAGACCACACATCGTTTGTTCACAGGGTAACTCACCCCGCAGGTTCGATTCAAGTAGTCTGCTCTTCCGCCGTCCTTGAGTCTCAGTACCGTTGATGACGATAGGGGCTACTCAAATCTTTAGCATCCATCGTTCTCACAATGGCTCTGTCTAGTTGCCGTCTGTTGAGAGGCAAAACCGCTGCCATCACAGGAGGCACAACTGGTATCGGCCGTGCGATTACTTTGGAATATCTGAGACAAGGAGCCAATGTCGCTGTAAATCATTTGGGCCTGCCCCAAGACGAGAAGCATCGACACAGTCTATTGGAGGAGGCGGAAAGCATCGCAAAAGCTGGGACCAAAGATCAACCGACTGGCCAGCTGATAGAACTTGCTGGAGACGTCACCAACCCCGAGACAGGCAAAACTCTTGTCAGTGCAGCAGTCAAGAAATGGGGTGGACTTGACGTTTTTGTTGCCAATGCAGGAATTTTCAAGGCTGCGGAGTTTCTCACGTACGTTGGCCCTTCTTTGCATCATGCTCAGCCTCGAGGTTACTAACTTTATGAGAACTCAGTCTTGAAAAAGATGTATTCGACAAAAGTATGCAAGTCAACGTCAACGGGGCGTTCTACTCCTGTCAGGCGGCAGCCAACCAGATGGTGCAGCAAGGACGCGGCGGATCGATCATTGGAATATCATCAATCTCTGCTCTCGTTGGTGGTGGCCTACAAACACATTACACGCCGACAAAAGCCGCTGTGTTGTCCATGATACAGTCAATGGCAATTGCGTTGGCGAAGGACAAGATTCGGTGTAATGCATTGTTGCCAGGCACTATTCACACACAACTGGCGGAGCCTGATATGCAGAATGAGGAAAAGCGCAAATATCTCCAGCAGCGCATACCCATGGGTGTTGGAAAGCCCCAAGACTTGGCGGGGCCAGCAGTCTTCTTGGCCTGTCCGGAGCTGAGCGGATTCATGACGGGATCTCAGGTGCTCGTTGACGGAGGAATGTTTGTAAATTTGCAGTAATCGAATGTGCTTGCTACTGGGCTGAAGGTTTTATACCGTAAATGATATATTATGACCGTAACTACTTGTTCAATGAAGTGAAGGCATCATCTGATCTAATTTTGGGAGTATTCAATGGCTTACTTTTACCAGCGGCCCGCTATCCCTTCGAAAGGTAAGTTGTGGGGGACGGCGTGGACAAATATCCCGGGTTGCCTGCGGCATCCTACAGAGCCGCAAATAGAGTAAGGGGGATCAAATACTCGTGGTAGACGTGCTGCACCTGCATCAGCCCTACTGATTATTCCTAGATCTCTGCTCGTTGTTGTGGGCCGGCATACCTTGTGTTGGTTCCATGGTTATGCATGTTGATCGTCATCGCCGGACCAGCTCAGTGGAGTTCCGGCTCACAGGATCCATCTGCAAGGTGCGGTGGACATACTTACCAGGGAACGTGGAAGGAAATGAGACCATGTGCGGCGAATGTCTCGATGCAGCCATCATTCGCGCGCGGGCTCATCTTCGTGGGACTTCGATTTGTCGTGGTTTGTCAAGGCCAGCGGCGCCTATGTCATTAGCTTACGGAAGCTGGTAACGAGTTCGCCAAGACTTAAATCCCGCAATCCTACGTCAAAACCAAGAGATTCAGTCCCATCGGCGATGCCCTGCAGATGACATCGGTGGTGCTCCACTTAGCCGTTGCTTACCTACCCGGTGCGCCAGAGTGCCGGTCTGACCGACCCCATCCTCAAGACTTAGTCATGTCTCATGAAAGCAGAAACACCATTCCATTGCTGTGTGTATCGTGAATGAAGTTGATGATCAGGAAGCTTAGCAAGTTCTTCATGCTGGTTCCAGAAGTAAAATGCACCCCAGGCCGCGCGCCAATTAGTACAGCGTGAGCAAGATTGTGAAGCCGGTGTCAAGAAATGCAATGATTATAAAGCGGTTAGAGCAAATTGATATCTCGGAGGCAGCGACAAATGCATTTCTTGCCAGGTGTATGTGGGCGTTTTCACGCGCGGGAAGGTTAGGTTAGCAACAACAAGGGGCCCACGAGTAGCGAGGCGCAAGTAGGAACATCCTTGGACTAATTTTTGCCCCAAGTCCCTGCCCACGAAGCCAGTCATCGAGTAGCTGAATTAAGTGCTCAATCATTGACCATCCTTTATCCAGCTTCCATGATGATCCGGTGCTCACAAAGACAAAGATATTTTGTAATGTGTCTTAGTAAACAGTAGAAGAGCACTGCCATCTGAAGTCATGGTCGATGAGAAGCAACCACTGAGTCAATTCACTGGAAACCCCCAACCTAGCCTCGTCGAACGGAGAACATATAAAGACTTTCAGGCCTTTTGAGAAAAGTGCTCTCGTCAATAGACTGTCATCTAATCTTCGATTTTACGCGACCAAGCAACAAAATCATCCAACGAAAATGTCGACCTTGAACAGCAAGACCGAGAATCAAAGCCGCAGAGCTTCACTTTCGGGTGGAGAAGCAGCAGAAGCTTCAGCCTTACACGAGTTTACACCAGAGGAGCAGCAGAGAATCATGAGGCGTGTTGACGTTCGTGTCGTAGCCACTGTCGGGCTTTTATATTGCTTTTCTGTCATCGACCGATCGAACCTACCCTCCGCCGCCGTGGCTGGTATGACAGAAGATTTGAACCTCATCGGAAACCGTTATGTAAGTCATCTGAATGGGCAGGTTTGGAACTCCTTGATTTCCGACTTGAACAAAAGTATTGGGGATGTCAACTCTAACGTTAATTTCAACAAAGTCGGTTATAAGTCTTGTCTTCTTCACAACATATACTACCTTTCAGCCAATTTCAATCATACTCGCTCGAACCATTGGCCCAAGAGCCTACTTCACTGGTGTTACAATGATTTGCGGCTTTATTGTCATTGGCATGGCCTTCCTCAAACATTGGGGCCAGATGGTTGCTCTGCGAGTCATTCTTGGGGCTCTTGACTCCGGTTTCTTCCCTACTTGTGTTTACCTTCTCAGTACCTGGTACACTCGCTGTGAGTCTACATTACCTGAACATGGATAGCTTGAGATATTGATCTGCCATAGACGAGGTTGGCAAGCGCTACTCAGCCTTTTACATTGTGGTGTGTCTCGCCACAGCGTTCTCTGGAATCCTGGCATTTGGGGTATCGTGTTCTCATTCTACATCAAAGTGGGTGCCTAGGACTAACTGGGTGGAATAGTTCACCAAATTGGAAGCAAAGGCGGGACTCAGGGGTTGGTCATGGATTTTCCTCATGGAAGGCATCATCACCTGTTGTCTCGGAGTCCTTTGCTATTTCGTGTTGGTCGGTTTTCCCGACTCCAAAAAGCGAACCTGGGGATTTCTGTCTCAGCAAGAGATTGCATGGGTTGTGTCTCGTGTTCAAGAAGATCGCGGGGATGCAAAGCTCCCCGCTCTTAGTGTGAAAGGATTTCTGAGAGGCGGGGCTGATGTCAAGGTCTGGGCATTTGCGTTGATTTACTTCAATCAGGCCCTTGTCAACTTTGGTGCGTTGTTGAGTCTTCGAGTATCCATGGCTTGAACTAACACCCTGTTTCTTCAGCTTTGTCATTCTTTCTCCCCATTATCTTGAAGGAGAACATGGGCTTCAGCACTGGCAAAGCCCAGATCATGATCGCTCCACCGTACGTTCTCGGTGCGGTTCTCATGTGGATTTCCGGGTGGCTAGGAGATCACTTCATGGTACGTGGTCCCATCATCATAGGAGACATGGTTGTCGCCATTGTTGGAACCGCTCTGGTCGGATTCCATAACGACGTGGCTGTACGCTACACCGGCGTCTTTCTTCTTACTGCCGGCTCTTTTTCTTCTATTCCTGTCGTCATGGCCTATCAAGCAAACAACATCCGAGGACAATGGAAGCGGGCATTCTCTAGCGGCCTGGTCGTTGCGTTCGGTGGTGTTGGCGGCATCGCCGGTTCTCTCATTTTCCGGTGAGTATTCATTTCAGAAGCCCATTTTTTCAGCACCCGTTTCAAACTCGACACAACCACAAACTCTAATCAAATCACAGGAGTCAAGATAAGCCCAGCTATCTCCCAGGCTTAAGCACCTGCATGGGATGTGCCGTCTTGAATATCATCATTATTCTGGGCCTCAGCGCTTACTTTTACTACTGGAACGCTAAGGCTGAGCGTGGTGAGGTTGAGCTTGAAGCCTCAGAGGCAAGTACCATACACTTACCTCATGTTGACGAGCAATTCGATTCTAACTTGCTCCTATTTTCTTCCAGGAAACTGATGCCTCCGATTTCCGATACACTTACTGAATTATTTCGAAGAAGAATCATTATGGTCACCCGAATAAAGCATGCACCTGATCAGACGCTCGTATTATTTGGTCAAAACTATTGAAACCACCGACTGGTGCTCGACTGCTATTACTGGAGGAACCCAACTGCGCAAGACATACTTGCGCCACTCTCTCATTACTCATCATGTACCTTATAACCATCCAATCGTTACCGAGAAAATAAAATAGCAACCCTTCAACGCACGGCTCGCTGTTGCCGTCTCATCAAGAAAGACTTGCAATGCGGTTCTTCGATCCCAAATTCAGTGACATTCGTTGCCACCGTCTTGAGAAGCTGGAAACCTAACTTCTGATACATCGGCTGCGCGGCCATTGTAGCCATAACCCAAACCTTCATTCCAACAGCATCTGCTTGCTCTAGACCCTTTTTGACCAGGGCGGACGCAATCCCTTTCCGTCTGTATTGCGGATGCACTGTCAGATAGTCGAGGACTTTAAAAGTTAGTCTTGGCTCACTTCCGAGTGATATGGTGCAAGTATTGAGGTGACTGAACCAAATGGGGCCAGCATACCCAGAAATGGTCCTTCTTGGGACTTCATGAGTTCAATCTCAGCATTCTCGAGGGGAAGACCAAGAGCCTCTTGCAGACGCGTATCCATCCCCGGAATCATACCTTCCTCGGTGTTGGCTTGGAACTTGGCCTTGAAACTTTCTGATTCATCGTCGGTTGGTTCTCGGACAAGAGCCTCTGGCCAGTTCAATGTGCTACTGGCATCAGGCAGAATCCACCGAGCATACCCAATAATTTCACCAGTGTCGTCATCAGTGGCTTTCAAGTGGCGTTTTCCTTCGCGGCCTGATGCAAGACCATGCGGCATTCGAGCAGCGGCACCTCTAATGATTTCTTCAAGTGTGGTCGACTTCCAAAGAGCTCGCCAGTGGGCGTCGGTATGGTAAAATGCCGTCATATTGTTCTTGGAAACCCCTTGAGCGTCGTCGTAGTCGACGGCAGATATCGTGAAAGTCATCGAGTCGTAGTTAAGACACTTGCTTAGGGAGGTTTCAACAAAGTCGACACCCAAAATCGGAGTGAGGACAAAAGCACTGGTGTTTGGCACAAACTTTGTAGTTGAGTGATAAATCAAATGTACATGTATTCAAACAGGGCATCTGAGCTTTTTATACCCTAACTCATTTTCGATTCAACGACACTCACACATAATCCCGTCATGAGTAGGAATACGTGTTCTCTTCTAAACGCAGATCATATGAGTCCGAGCATCAAGAGGGAAGAGCCTGGTGTTATCGCATCGTCAGCTGGACCCCTGTCAGTAACTTGACTGTATGTGGCCTTTTGTAAGCCGGCTACAAGCGGCAGCTCAAACACCTCCAGGCCTAGGTCTCACACCATCATTGCAGTTGCTGACGTAGTGGGCGATAAGCACGAAGTGGATTAAAAGCATTGACGGGACCCTTAATCGTCTTTATGCACCTTCCAGTTGACTAGTTACCCTGAGATAGATGGAGTAACTTAGCATGTCAGCCAGAAGCGCGTATCAGCTGTCCGTAAGGAGGCCATGGTGAGAATGAATGAACTGACACCCCGTGCCTCCAGACTCAGTGATGAGATCCTCGCTTAGAAGCCGTCTGACCCGACAAATCAGATCTACCAGCGCTGACTCATCCTGGCTGGGCGCTAAACCTGCTGCCTCAGAAGTCGTCGATTTCTCCTTTGTCTACGGATAAACCCCACTCATTCGACACGACTATGATGAGTGATTGCCTGCACGAAGGCAACCATCTATTGATCAATATTCCTGCTGATTTTCTTTTCTCCCATTGGGCGCTGTCATCAACGCGATGTCCTTGTGCCTGCAGCCTATCAAAGCCTTCCTCCAATCGCATTTGGCAGCCAGAAACGAAGGATGTGCCGAAATGCAGGGAGCAACACGTTGCGACTTTTGCAAACGATTCATTTCGGCGATGAAAAGGAAACCAACCGACCACGTATCTCTTGACCTCGAGCCTGTCAATCAAATTGTGTCTTCAGCATGTACTCGCCATCGACCACTATTGGAGAAGATAACGAGCTGGTTAGACTTGCAAGAGGGAGCCACAGAACAACTGCACCTGTTCAGAAACTACTTCGATTATTCAGTCACATTTACGCTGAAAGATAATTATGGTCAATCGTCGCCTTCGTTAGATGTATTGGAAAGCCCCGACGGAAAGCAATTTGCTGGATATGGGATCCAACTTGATCCATCCTGGATCGACAACAAGACTCTTATTCGGTGGTACGACACATGCAAGTCTGGCCACGGAGACAGGTGCAGTAGACCCGAGTATCTTGGGTACCTTCCCAAACCTGAGCTGAGAATTCTGATCGACGTCACGGAAAACTGTTTGACTCCAGCCCCTGAAAATGCTTCTTACATGGCGCTCAGTTACGTCTGGGGCAAAGTAGACATGCCCAAAACGTTCACAGCAAACGTATCTCAACTGCAAAAGCTAGGGGCCTTGAACAACACTGCTCTTCCCCAAACCATCCGACATGCGATTTATTTAACGAGGCTGCTTGGCGAACGTTATCTTTGGGTGGATAGCCTCTGCATTGTGCAGGACGATGAAGAATTTCTCAACGGTCATCTTGGCCGAATGGCATCCATCTTCGCCCATGCTCAAGCTGTCATCGTCCCAATTGACGGAGAGAATGCCGAAAGTGGGATTCCGGGGTTGAAAGAGGCGCCTGCGGCGCAACCCAGGCACCTGGAGCAGGAGACTATCCCATTTGGGGAGAGGTCGCTTCTGATTCGTACCAAGATGGGTCTGCGTGGAAGGGGTGAATTTTCATCCAAAAAGGCTGACTACTTCGATCGTGGATGGACGTTTCAAGAGTATCTGTTCGCAAGAAGACGCATATGCTTCGAGAATAGTAGCGTATGGTTTCAGTGCTGTCAATCTACCCAGTACGAAGACCACAGCCATCCGGACCTTCCCGATCGCAATCGCGACTTCTTGTTGGATGTTGGGTACCCATCTCTCACTGTTTTTTCACGCCTAGTGGAAGATTTCAACCAAAGACAACTCAGCTACCCACAAGACTGTCTCGCTGCTATAGCGGGAATGCTTCCATGTTACTCAAGGGCCTTCAAGGGAGGGTTTCTTTGCGGGCTCCCAGAGATGTTTTTCGATGCAACTTTACTTTGGCAGCCTGGAGATGATCTTGTACGTCGCGTACCAGTAGACACAGGTACAACATGCGGCGGTATCAACAGCGGGAGCCTGCCGACCTGGTCCTGGGTAGGATGGCAAGGCCGTCTCGATTTTGCGGGTTGGGCAACAGGGAATGACTTCGTGGCCGCATGCAGCGGCTGGATCGCCTCTTCACGGCAACAAATTATTCCAATTACCAAATGGTTCACCAGCTCTGATGTCACTGGCAGGACTGGCAAGAGACCGGTGGAAGTTGAGTGGGCGCTATGGAGAGATCGCCACAAAGACCCAAAGTGTCCCCTCCCTTCAGGGTGGACACGAAGAAGGCGGCGAAAAGGCGAGAGCTTAACCATAGAGGAATTCCCCGACGGGTTCGGCGAGTATTTGTACAAGCACGAGTCTTGCACAGCACGGTTTTGGTACCCTATACCTCTCTCGGATCCAGACTATCCGCACCAGCAAAAAATTCCCAGCTTCTCTGAGGCGACATACCTCTTTGGCTCCGTGCAAACGGCATATCTTTCAGCTTCAGGCGCAGTATGGATGCATGAAGATTTGACTGGCATGGGGCCAGTCAATCCATCAACTGCTCATGTGTCGATGCGCACTTCTCAGAACGAATGGGCCGGAGTGATACGACTGCACAGCCGGGATCACTTCGAAAGACAAGGTTTGGACCCGGCGAAAAGTCCTGTTGAGCTGCAGCTTATAGCTATATCTCGGGGTTTCATCGCGAATGGCCTTGAGAGTTATGTTGCAAGAGAAATTCCAGAGTATGTTTTGGAAGAACGACCAAAGGCTGGCGAGAAGTATGAATTTTACAATATCATGTGGATCAGCCGGAGGAATGGGATTGCTTATCGAGAGGGCCTTGGTCGGGTGCACAAAGACAAGTGGGATTCTCTCCAGGTCTCAAGTATTGATATCGTACTTGGATAATATTAATAATGAGGACGTTGTTGCCAACGTTTTCTAATAGTCTACATGTAGTGGTACCCGAGGGTATTTCAGTCATGATTTTCAGTCGCATACCTGAGAGAACCCCTCATACTGTCTGCTTAAGTCGGCCAAGCATGAAAGCATCGAGATACTCCAAACTTGACTTCAAATCAGATTTGAGCAGAGACTTTGCCGCCGTCATGGGTAGTCTCTCGGGAGCGGGATATGCTAGGTATGGCAAGGAACGAGTCCTATGGGCGGCGCGAAACACCTATTTGATGTCAGTATCAATCGTCTTTCCGATGAGACATTTGGTGGCAAACTTACTCTAAGGCGCTTTACAACGTCCTCCATCTCTTCCGCAATCCGCACATGGAGCTTGTTTTCGGGAGAAAGCTGGTCCCTAAAAGAATGCTTCCGGAAGGCTTTGCCTAGTGCGCGCTGCCTTACAGGCACACTACGCTCCAGGTCTTCCTCTGATAGGTAAGGCTCGAGACCAAGGAAGGCGTCCAACGCCTGGAAAAGCAAGACCTGGTTTCCGCTCAAGCCGTTGAATCGAACGTCGGGCTGCTCTTTGTTGCCGGCACTCCAAGCAAAAAAGCTCTGTACTCTTGAAAGCCACACCGACCGAGGGATGCGAGTTTCATGCATACGGTCGTAATAGCTTTTCAGTACCGTCCTCAACTGTGTGCCAACAGCCGCCACATGACGCGCACACTCTGCCATGTCGCCTCTTGTCCAAGTGATAGTGGCTTGAAGCATCTCATAGTAAACGGACACGGCCCGGACTTCGGTTTCGCGGAAAATACGTGCGAACGCCTCTTCGGCCGCA